CTAACATTTCTACAAACTCAGTCAAAGTGGGGGCTTCCGTAGACACCTAAAAATGTCTCCCCAAAACCAAACCCGAAGATGAACAACCTTTCACCGCCATTATTGGTCGGGTTGAGTATTTAATCTTGGAGTGCATAAATCCATATTTCCATTTCATAAAACCAACCCAACTCCTATCCCATTTCCCTTTTTTCGTGCCTTTAAACCCAAAATAATTCATTTCGTATCCTTTAAAATCATTCATTTCGTGTCCTTTTTATAAAAACGTTTAGTCCAATTTATTTTGGTCCATTATCTGGGTTCAATGATTGAATAATTGGATGGGGATTGAATAGAGCTTTCCAACGATATATTATAAGCCCAAATCCGAGTTATAACGAATAAGTTATGGCCAAAATATTAAACTGAGCCCAAACCGAACCTAAAGCCACCTTACCTACGACCCAATGATCATGTGGAGGGTACAAATTATTTAATCCCATTCCTAAACCAATAAGGATTAGTTGGAAACTTCTATAAGTTTCTAAAAGATCTTGATTATTATTTTTGAAAAGATAAGATTAAAGAGTTTGAACTTAATTAAACTTTTCTTTTTGAAAGTCCTAATTCTATTCGAATTGAAAGACGTTCAAAGATAGACAGATATTATTTTCAAGTCTCATAGTTTTTACCTGAATATTATATGGTTGGATATCCCTTGAAATTATCTTTCCAATGATATATTATAATATCAATTCCGAGTTATAACGGAAAAGATATGAATAAAATATCAAACTCTATCCAAAACTGACACCGTCTCACTATTTCGGCCATATCTTTTATTCCAAAAAATATTTGAATCTAATTTTAATTGGTTTAGAAATTAGACTTCAATATCTTTCCAACGATATCTTATTTATCTTATTTCAATTTCTGGATCAAAAGATATGATAAAAACAAAAACTACATAAACTGCTGACTATCGCAAGAGTTTTATCCGATTCGAATTCTTATCTTTTCTTGATTCTTCGACCCCTCTTTTTTCCTTATAAATAGAGGTCATATCTCCCCTTTTTCAATCATCAACAAGCTTGATCATAAAATAATTCTCTTCTTCCTCTTTAGCCTAAACACTAGCCTCCCCATTCTTTCACTAATCCTTCCTTTAAGCACTTCAAGAAGTCCATACTTAGCCCGAGGTTCCGTCCTTAAACCAAGGCGTGAAAGGTATAATTAACTGAGGTTTTGGACCAAATCAAATCAAATCTAATTTAATTTAATTTAATTTTAATTTGATTTATATTTTTATTGAAGTTACTAACAGTTTATTCATGATGTAGCAATTCAAGGAAACACGAAAAGTGAGTAATTAATCACTTAATTACTCTTATTTTTATTCTTATTGCTAGTATCATGATTAGGCCTAGTTTATGATTTGCTTTGACTAACGCTATTATTGTTAAATTGCTTCCAATATTAATGCTTATTCTATTATTTTTTATGATCACCATATTGCATGTTTCAAGGGAATATGTAACTGAAAATCATGCCTAATAAGATAATTTGGACAACCGGTTTAGGATCCTTTTTAATCTTGTTATTAAATCAAGTGATTACAATATTTTAGAATTATATGTTGCATTAATATTCAACCAATTTAGCTTAATAATAGTTTGGAGCGAATTGAATATCTTTGTTTGTAAGCATTTGAGATCGCAGGAATCACTTTTCACTATAAGAATCGAGTAGAGGCCAATACGGGCGAATGTGACTCAATGACTCACTTCGTACCATCATCCCTGATCCTCTTTTTGTGATTCCGAACCATATGGAGTTAGTAATATCATTGATTATGAATGGGATGTCTTCACGGGTCAATCGTTGTTGCATTCGTTGTCCCTTATTCGTGGTTGCCTTTAATGATCCGTGAACGGTTTACAAGTTCCTTAAAAACTTGTTGGCGGCTCCCTACTTTCCTTGTCCCTAATCGTATTATGTCAATTCCCACTTCCTATTAGTGCCAAGCATATTCACCACATGGGACACACATCATCATCATAACAACAACAAGATTAAGAATGAGCCAATATCATCAAATTAGGATCAAGAATGAGATCATCATTCCAAGAATCAAGAGAAGCAAGGTTAGTTTCAACAACAATTGGCCACCGAGACTAAACCTCTAAGAAAAGAAAAAGTTCCCCCAAGCTAAACAAAGATACATCTCAACATCCCAACAATACAAAGCAAGCACACATAAGACAACTAGAAACCACTACCACTCGGCCCGGAGCCATCATTGTATCCCCATCATAGGAAAACTCGGATGGGGGACCATGAGGATCCTATCCCCCGGTGTAACCGGGTGGCCAACCATAATGCCCCTAAAGTTATCTTGTTGCCAAGGGACAAGGGGAGTGAATTGCTCGGGTAAGGCGAGCGGAAGTGGATGATCGGGGTGTACATAGGGGTAATTAGGATCACCCCTATAATCGCTCCCACCGCGAACACGACAATCGTAGTTACCGTGCTCATTGGGGAATGAGCGAGTCTCGTTGTTGGACCCCGAGGGTCCTTGACAATATGGGTACGTAGGTACCCCATCACCCCCAAAAGATGGTAGAGGACCATATTGGGGTAGAAAGTAAGGGTAGTTAACCGGGGGAGTGATTTCTCCCCGGTTAACACCCGCATCATGTAAGTGTTGTTGTTGGAGAAACATACCTTGTCGCATCTCCGAAATCCCTCTCATATGGGTATAGAGGGCCTCAAAATCTTGATTGTACATGTCTCCAATCGGATTTGCATGCCCTTCATTTGAGCACTAAGGGCATCCAAGTCGGAGCTAGCATATTGATGATGTTGCTCTTGATGTTATTGTTGTTGTTGTTGTTGCAGCTCTTCTTCTTCTTCTTCTTCTTCTTCTTCTTCTTCTTCTTCTTCTTCACCCATTTCTTCATCATCATCAATGTAGGGCGGGCGGTGACTAATGGGGACATGCCAAATGTTTGCTACATTCTCTCGGTGGAGAGAAGTCAAGGAAGGGTTAGGGAGATAGCACCAATGCTCATTGTCCCTTAGCCAATCAAATACCTCGTCATCATCATTCTTTGCCAAGAAATGGATTTTATTTAATTGCTTGACGTCAAGGTAGAGAGAATCAACATCCCCCACCGGAGTGCAAGATGGCAAATAATGCCCAAGCTCAAGGTTGGTAATTAGCCTAGTGACCAACCTCCCACAAGGGATCTCGCCGGAATCCCTACCTTGCAACCCTTGGAAATATCTTGCAAAAGTGTACCCCAAGTTTAGGCGACCCCGGTGCTCCGCACGAGTAGCCACCCACAAAATCCAAAGTTCCAATTGGCTCATCTTTCCCAATTCTTGCTTCGGGAACACCGAATATCCCAATAGCCTATGGAGAACCCGGAGACATGGCTGGTATACCTTACTAATCTTGGCATACCGGGTCACAAAGTCACCGCAACCAGAAATATCGTCCCACCACGAATTCTGATCATACTCATCGTTGAAGAACTGCTCGGGATCCAAAATATCATAATTTGGATCAAAGTTAAGAACCGCATTAAACTCTTCCAAAGATTGATCAAATTGAATGTAGAAGAGTTGAAATCGGACACGGTAGGTATCACCCTCGACCACCACAAGATCAAACGTGGCCAAGAACTCCAAAGTTGGTTGAACATATGTACGGAAGCTCCGGCTCACAAAAGACCCCATGCGAAGGTTGTTGAGTAATTCCCTCAAATCCTCATCAATCCCCAATTTAATCATGTCCACTTGATAGTAGTGATGGGAAGGCTTGAGGGAACGGTTTTCTTTGAGCTTGGAGTGTCTAGCTTTTTGGATTGGGTCGGTAATTCTAAGTTTGGGTATAAGGGTAGGTTGATGTTGTTGTGAGGCAGAGGGAGAAGGAGCGGGTTCATTATTGGATTTTTCACTTGAAAAGGCTTTTAATGTGTTTAAACATGATGATTTTCAAATGTAGCAACTCAATACACACTCACCACAAGAAACTCCAACTAACAATCTTGAATGCTTTAATCGAACTCCTTAACCAAAACTAACAAGCAACAACTCACTACCAAAGATGAGCAACCCAATTGCACACAATTACCACCAATTCAACCCACCAAATGCATTCAAATCATATAACAAGCACAAAGAAATCAAGAACCAAGGCTCAACATTATTAAAGAAGCACCACTACCAAAAATCCGATCACAACAATTCTCAACAATAACGAAAAATTTTGCTACACAAACAACAAACAACACAATGTAAGCAGTAATCAACCATCATTCATCACAAGTAACCAACCAAAATCCAATTTCAAACATCAAAACCACAAATTACATACTACTACTATTCATACCCATGAATTAACTAAAACTTGCAATTATATGGTATAATAAAGCAATTAAGAGTAAGAGTAGATGATTATACCATACAAGAAGCAAGTTAGAGCAATCTTTAGCCACCAATTTCCACCCACACGAAAAACCCCAAATAAGCTTCAACAATGGAGGAAAGAGAATGGTGGTTGTTATAGGTGAAATGTAGTATGAATTTGTTAAAATTGAAAGAATTGTAAGAGGATTTGATGAATTGTAATGGAAATTTGGAAGAATTTGAGTGAAAATTTGATGAATGAGTGTAGGGATATGGTGCGGTTTTGATGAGGGTGAAGGGGGTTGGTGTTCGTGAGAAATGAGGGTGAAGGGGAAATGAGGGAAAAGAAAGAAGAAAGAAGAAGAGATAGGCACGGCAAGGGGGTGCGCGGCCGTGCGGCCTGGCAGCGTGCCCGCACAAGTGTCCTTAGCTCGACCCTTCCTCCAAATCACGGAGGGTCAAAGAACACCACTGTATCCAAAGTGGCGGAAGGAGCAAATTTCTCTTTAATTTTTAGCAACTTCTCGTTGTTCCTTAATGAAACTTCATTCGATAACTCCTCAAAAACAAGCTTCTCTTTCCATAACCTCATTCTCTTTCTCTTTTTCCTAGAAGCTCGTGCTTTTTTTCTTTTCCTTGTTCCTCATAGTAGATGATTTCACATCATCAACACTCTTAGGATCATCGTCCTCCTCTTGAGGGTGAAGCTCAAACCAATGAGGAATGTCAATCTCCTCCTCGTCTATGAGCTTGGGAAACTCCTTTTTCTCTTCACTAACCTTCTTGCAATCAAAACTTAAAAGCACATCATCACAATTCTCAAGAATATCGTTAGTTGAAGTATCAATCTTGCATACTGTAGGGAATACTTCAAGCATTAACCCCTAGCTTGAACCCCACTGTGATCATACATTAAAGTACGGTGGCGTCCAAAGGGAATGAAGATAGAGCAAAAGAGTCGCCAACAAGTTTTTTAGGAACTTGTAAGCCGTTCACGAGGTGAAGGTTACACCCCTTGACGATCCAAGAGATCGTCAACTCCATAAGGTCTTGAAACAAATAGGGTTCGGGGATGAAGGTACAAATCCAACCTAAAAGAGATTGAACCTGCCCTAATAATAGGCCTCTACTTTATTCTGATCGTATTCATGTGCGCTTTCTGACTAACATGCAAGCAATAGGATTAACCCTAAACCTGTTTATCTATGTTGGTTGATGCACAAATAAATCTATTATTGGCGATCACTTGAATTATAATCAAATTAACCCTAAACAAGATTATTAATTATCTTATTAAGCATGATTACAAGTACAAATTCCCTTTAAACATGCATAAAAGGTGTGATCAAGCAATAACAATAAATAAGCATCAAGCAACATAATAATAATCATCATAATAATCATAATAACAATCATGATAATAATAATAATAATAGTAATAATAATAATAATAATAATAATAATAATAATAATAATAATAATAATAATCATGTTAAAGCATAATAGCAAGATCCTAGGCATGATACTAACAAGATTAATAACAAACCCTAGCATGTCACTAAGCAATAAAAATCAAAGCTTTAACCCTAACATGATACTAACAATCATAAATATTAGGAAGAACATAAAAGGCATCATACTTTTAATCATACTTGGTATTAAAGTTACCCTAGACATGATACTAGGAATCAAAATAACAATCTAAGCATGATTTCTATATCATAATATCAATTAAACCATTAAAGTACTTACTTGGATGCCTCGTACCTCTTTCTAATAAAAAAATACACACGTTAGTAACTTCAAGGAAAATAATAATCAAAACAATTAAATTAAATAATTGAAATAAAGATTTGGGACCAAACCCTCAGAAATTAAAACCTTTCACGTCTAGGGCGAAGACAACTTCGAACTTGGCTAGGTATATCTAGTGCTAATGTATGAGGAATTGTGTTTGTTAAAAGCTAGGCTAGAAAGAGAGAGAGAATTAAGAAATTCTTGATGAGAGTTGATGAAAATTAGAAAGAATAAGAATTGTGAGAATTGATGATTGAAAACAGAATTTTTAGAAGGCTATCTATAGAGAAAATCAGCCAAAAAAGATAGAAAATCGAAACAGAGTTCTGACGCGGATAAAACTTGATTAGCGCCAACGTCGGCAATTGGCGCCAGACGCTAACGCTAGCGCCAGGCGCCTAGCACCAGGCGCTAATGTATGGCGTAAGGCGCTAATCCCGTTTTTGGCGCGTTTTCTAATATCATATAGAATTTAACCGTACAGGAGGATAAAACCGTATTTTCCTCAAAAACATTCTTTTATTTTGATTAAAACTCTAAAAAAGTCAACAAAAGTCAATTTATCAATGCTAATTGAATTAGGAATGAAAATAACCTTCTAGAAGAATCTAGAAGACTAAAACCATTCCTAATTGCATTAGGAATGATAAATTCATATTAGGCCCTCCTCTAGATCATTGGGCCGCATATGATGCTCAAACCGGGCCCAATTTAGTATTTTGGCCATAACTTTCTCATTATTCATCGGAATTGGGCTTATAACATATCGTTGGAAAGGTCTTTTCAACCCCATTCAACTACACTACTATTGGACCCATATCATGGACCAACCAAACTGGATTGGCTGTTTTCTTAAAATAGGTTTTCAAAAACAGAGAGAAGAGAAAAGAAATTAAAAATATCCGCAACACTAAACTTTCCACGCTTTCACTTCATTCGATTATGATTTGACATGAAAGGTACTCATCACTGGTTTTGGTTTTGGGGAGACACAAATGGGTGTCTACACATACATTATCAATAGAGTGAGGGGAATTAACACACATGATTCCTTTCACAAAAGACAAAGACTCATGCATCGGTTTTAGCTCGAAACTTTCCTCATTGTTACCAACTCTCAAAGTAATTCGGCCTCTCTTGACATCTATCAAAGCTCCCGAGGTAGCTAAGAAAGGTCTCCCTAAGATGATAGGAATGTGGTCATCTTTCGCAATTTCTAGCACAATGAAATCAACAGGAATTGTGAATTCTCCTATCTTAAGGGGAACATCCTCAACTCTTCCCTTTGGGAACTTGATGGATCTATCGGCTAATTGAAGGGTCATATTGGATGGAAGGAGCTTACCTATCTTAAGTCTCCTGAAGACGGAATAAGGCATGATACTCACGCTAGCACCGAGATCACAAAAGGCATTTTGGAACAATTTTCCTTTGATTTTGCAAGGGATAGAGAAATTCCCGGGGTCTTTCAACTTTTGGGGTAAGTCATTATGGATAAAGGCACTAAAACACTCCCCTAAATTCACCGGTTTCACCATATTGCAATCCCTTTTAACGCTTAAAATTTCCTTAAGAAACCTAGCATAGTTTGGCATTTGTTCCAAGACTTCGGTGAAAGGAATAGAAAGATGAATTTTCTTAAGCATTTCAATGAATTGTCCAAATTGCTCATCCAATTTGTGCCCATTGAACTTTTGGGGGTACAGAAGTTTGGGCTTGTAAATCTCATCTTTCTTCTTCTCTTTCTCCTTTATCTCTTCATTAGATTTCTCACTCATCTTGCTAGACTCTTCATGCTTATTCTCTTTGCTCGAATCACTCTCCTCTTCGCCCTCCTTACTCTTCCTAGGGACACTCTCTTCAAGGACCTTACCACTCCTAGTGGTGATTGAACAAACCGGTTCCTTAGGATCAATTTCTTGCAAGGGTAAAGAAGATGGGCTAGCACAATCTTTCAAAGGGTTAGCTAGTTTAATGATTTGGTTCTCAAGCATCTTTCCATGAGTTAATAGGCCATGAAACATTTTGTCACTAGAGGATATGTAATCGTCCAACTTCTTGGCTTGATCTGCCATGAAATTCGCTAGCTTACTTATAAATTGAAATTGTTGATCATAAGAATCATCACTTTGGCATTGAATTATTGGAGTACATTTAGGTGAGGAACCCCTTTGAGCATCATTTTGAAAATTTCCTCTACTTTGGTTACTCCAATTACCCTTATCAAGATTTTGGCCGGAATTTTGACTGTGATTACCATAACCTTGGTTATGATCCCCATATTTTTGGCCGTAGCTTTGATCATTACAACCAAAGTTGTCATAGTTACCATGAAACCCTTGGGTTACTTGGTTCCTATAACCACTATTTTGGTTATAATTATCGTAGCTCCCATGGTTGTGATGGTTCCTATTTCCAACATTCTTTTGAGCACTAACTCTTTATCTAAAATCACTATTTCCAACATAATTCATATGAACAATTTCATTCTCATCGTATTCATCACATCCATCACAAGGAACATTTGGACAATTAGAAGCATCATGATCATTTCTTCCGCATAAATCACAAACCAAACATTCTCTAATCATGCAACAATAAGGGAAAAGAGGGTTAGAGTAAGAAGATGTACCTTTCGCCTTAAATTGGGAGGGAAGAGCTTGTGCTTGTGAAGATGAATTTTCAAGCTTAGCTTTGATAGAAGCCACCTCCTTCACTAAGTCCGAAAGTAGAGTAGACAATTTGTTGATGGCATTGACTTGATCAACCGACGCACACTCGTTTGTTGACTCTTCCTCAACCTCTTGCCAACTCATGTAGTTCCTCACTACGTCATCTATCACATCAACAACATCTTCCACCGTCTTGTTCATGATTGGGCCTCCGGCTCCGACATCTAAGCTCGATCTACCTTGAGGACTCAAACTACCATAAAAAATTTGAATTGTTTGGTAAGTTGGAATTCCGTGGTGAGGGCACTCTCTTTGATATTCTTTGTACCTCTCCCATGCTTCATAGAGATTTTCGTTAGGCCTTTACTTGAAATTTTGGATCAAAGTTCTAGCTTCCGCCGTTTTCTTTTTAGGGTAGAAACGGGATGAGAATCCTTTGGTAACATCGTCCCATGTTCTTAAAGAATTCGAATTGACCTCCTTGTCCAACCATTCCAAGGCTCGCCCTATGAGGGAAAAAAGGAACAATTTGAGCCTTATAAACTCTTGTGCAACCCCACTCACCCTAATAGTGTAGCAATATTTCTCAAATTCCTTAAGGTGGTTGAGAGGACTTTCATTCGATGCACCACTATATTTTCGCCTCTCAATCAAGGTAATCATTGCCTGCTTAATTTCAAAATCACTATCCGGAATCAACAATGGAGCAATCCCGCTCTCATACTTGTATGCACCCGGAGTACCTAATTCCTTCAATGTAAACCTTTGAGCTTCTCCTATGTTCACTTGCACAAACAATCTCAAACAAAATTATTAGTAGCATGGCTACCAATGTAGCCTAAAGAAGAAAATCTTTTTGTATATTTGATATCAAGTGAAATAGACTCTACAACAATAGCAATCATCTATGCCATTCCCCGGCAACGGCGCCATGTTTTATCTAGGGCGAGACTAGGTTGTTACGTTGAAAACTAATCTACCCTTGGTCAAAACAAAATTTATAATATCTCAACACACCTCTATACAAAGCATAGAGTAAGTCGAGGGTCGAACCACTAGGAATGGGAGGTGAATGCTAAAGTCAAAGCTAAGCTATTTCGAAGCAATGAAATGAGGTGTGTTTATTCTACTAATCAAACAATCGAAATGAAAATCAAACTTAACAAGCACTAGGGTATGGATCCACATAAACTCGTAATTGATTTAACTAATTGGGATTGGAGATGACTAAGTCGAGTGTTGCGAGGGAAAATCGATTAAGCAATCAAGAGAATATGGTATGCTAATCTCCTAGAGGTCAAACTAGCGCCAACTACGAGAGACTCTTAGCTAAGAAACTTGCAAACCTACTCAATTGACAAATGTAAGCCACAAATTAATTTTCAGTATCAATGTGAACCTACAATGCAATCTAGTGTGAGAAACTAGGTTGATCACTCCTAAATTAAACACACATATGCACATAATCAATCAACCATTTTAATCACAACATCAACTCCATCAATTTCCCCCAATTAACATAAATCAATTACTCATATATGCTTCACCATTTCCCTAGCACGAAAACTACTCACTAATCATAGAAATCATCATCAAAACTAAACTAAGCAACAAATTTATCATCTTCATATTAATAAAAAATATACCAATTCAAAAATCAATCAACTTGAACAATTAACAAAGAAATTGAGATCAAAACAAATATTGCATTAAAGTAAAGAAATCCTTACAAACTTGCTTCAATTCAATGGAGAAAAACACTTAGAATCATCAATCTTCAATCATCAATCAAGAACTGCTCTCTCTACAAACTAGAGTTTCTCTCTCTAAAAATCTAACCTAATTCTATTCTAATTTCTGAAAAATTGAACTCTAAAACTTCCTCTTTAAAAATAGAAAGAAAATCTATATATAGTAAAAATAACTAAGAGAAGTTAGTTAGATAGTCCCCAAATAAACCCATACAGGTGCGGCCAACCATAAGGGGTAGCGCGGCCGCGCAAAACTGGGTACGGAACAGGGATCTAGTCAGGCGCGCCTGCGCTAGACGGAGGCGCGCCCGCGCCACAAGGCCGCGCCATGGTCGCGCATGCCCGCACCTGGGAGCAGGGCAGCCCTCTTCCCTATCATTCCGATGCTCCTCGTGCGTTCCACTTAATGCTCTTGATAAACACAGGGACCTTGCAGTTTCTAAACTCCATGTTTGTGGGTTCAAGACTAGAAATCATGCCCCCACGGCTTGAATGCACAGCTCAAGGACCTTAGGAACGTGCACTTCTCCATGCTTGAGCTTCAAATGGAGAACACTAGACATCCTAATCAATGCCGAACTTGGGAAGAGGCCTCGGGAAACTTGGAAAACGACCTTAACCTGAAAAATAAAGGAAAACAAGCAAATAAAAGAGAAAATAACAAAATAAATCAAGAAATGCATTAAGAAAGAAATCCAACTAAGAAAATGCAAACTAAAAGAAATAAAGAGTAAAATCGAGGAAAAGATAAGTAAAAGAGCTATAAAATATCATGAAATTCACCCTAAAAAGAACCAAATGAGTGCCATAAATGACACTCATCAGTTTTAACTAAGTGCTCGGAAATTTACCACTTCTCTTTGCTAGATATCCATTTAGAACACTTATGGACTCCTTCTTGTTGGGAAACCTCCACCGTAGTAACAAAATATCAAAAGGGGTGAGTGTTTAGGACAAGAGGGGCTAGGTTGCACAAGTTCACAAGTATTTCGCCAGAGTTTTAGGTTATTTTCTGTCTGTTTAAGCCTCGGTCTAAGCTCGTATTTATAGGGAATGATTAGGTTTAGGGTTTCGAGCATTCTTCCGCAACAGGTGTCGCGCGCAACAGGATGAGTTGCGCGCGGCATCCCAGCGCAAGTGATTAGGTTGCGCTGCTATGGGCAGCGCAACTAATTTTCTTGCGCGCGACTTTATGGTAAGATTCGATTTTATATTTTCCGTATAATTCTGAATCTTCCGCAGCGCAACTTTGGAGGTTGCGCTGGGTGTCGCGCGCAACTGAATTAGTTGCGCGCGGTAGCCCAACGCGACTGTTTGAGATGCGCGCAGATTTTTCTGCGGCAGCACTAAGATTTAACCTAAGCGCTCCTAAATCCGTCATTATTGGGTTTTAAGCACGGGCTTAAGCCTAATTATGATCGGGTTTAGTTAATTGGACCTTTGTTTTGGCTTTTATCTTTAATTTGGACTAGTCTTTATGTTTTGTGGCTTAACTAGTTATCCATAAGTATTCTTCACTTTGATCCAACATGAAGATGGTTTTATTTATCGTCATTGCACTTCCTGTCGGGACAGGAGGCCAAAAGTAGATGTCTACAATTCCCTTCTCTAAGGATGCCACCTCCTCCAAAGATGTCACCTCCTCCACCCCGTCTTCTCCATCATTGCCTTCCTCCCTTTCTAATAACAAAACCTCCCTCGCTCCTTCTCCTGCATCATCACTTTCCTCCTCCTTAAAAAATGTGTTAACCGCTTCCTCCTCTCCTACCTTTTCTCGGCTTCCTTCTTTAGCCTCCATCTCCCCTCCTACTTATTTTGATGTAGAGAAAAATGTGTTTTTACCCTTGGATGAAACAGAGTACTCTTCCCTGTGTAATGAATGGCATTCGGCTATCATCTCAAAGCCTTGTGGAAAATCCTTCTCCACAGATTTCTTCGTTGAAAATATCAAGAAAGTTTGGAAGCCAAATTCCCTAATCTCATCCTTTCCCATTGGCAAAGGCTTCTTTATCACAAAATTTAAACAGCAGGAAGACTTTTCATTCAGGTCCCTGGTTCCTCAATGGAACATATATTTTGGTCACAAAGTAGACTCCAAGATTCAAGCCGTCGAACGCGCCAAACCACACGACCCCTGTCTCGGTTGAACTACCAGCAAATCTACACTGTGCAAAACTTCTCGAACGAATAGACAACACCTTGGGATATTTCATCAAATCAAATAATAACACTAGAAGAAATAGCTTAAAAGTGGCCAGAATCCTGGTATTATTGAAAACCCAAGAAATTAGAAAGGAGATCATTTGGATTGGAAAAATCAAACAACCAATCATTTACAGAGAGCCCCAATCCTCCATCCAGGAAGTAAAAAAATCTTATTAAAGGCAAATAGTCAACTCTAAATCAGCCGACTACTAGTGTCATTGTCACGCGCACAGACGACAACGCCACCGCATTGGCGAAATCGGACAATGGTAAGGGTACAGAGGCCCAGTGGAAGGTTGTTCTGCGCAATAACAGAGGAAACCATTTATCCAATGGATTAAACTCGTGAAAAGATTGGGAAAAAAAACAAATTCAAAATTTCCAAATCAGCATAAAATGACGAATAAGTTTCAACCCTATAATTGGTTAAACAAGAAAATGAGGGCC